CCTCTCATTAGTTATTATACATTTATACTTCATAGTTCATACTTGTTACTACCTTACTACAATTACAATTATTCAATTGCAAATATCATCATCATCTTGATTATATTTCTTTCTTCTCGGTTCTCACTAGTCACTACTAAATTTTTTAATCCTACTATATTATGGATTCTCGCGATTCTTCTTCTCAAAATCCTATTTTCAATGATAATTGCTCTCCATATGGGTCAACTCGGAAAAATTCTATATTTTTATAATTTTATTTATACAATATACGGGCCAAACCGGAACGAACCGCGACCCGTGACCCGCATGGGCTCGACCCGGATGGGTCAGCGGGCGGGCCTGGGTTGTAGTCTAAAATTTGTGAGCCGACCCGGAACCGGCCCGAAACCCGTAGCGGGCGGGTTTTTTTCACAACCGGGCCGTTACCGGGCTCATATGTTGGTGGGCCGACCCGGTCCGGTCCACCCGGATTGACACCTCTACTGAGATCTATGACACCAAAATTTGATTATGTGGTTTGTTCCATTGAGGAATCCAACGATATAGATGACATTTCCATTGATGAATTGCAAAGCAGCTTGCTTGTGCATGAACAGAGAATTATTGGCCATGTAATGGAGGAACAAGTGCTGAAAGTGAGTCAAGAAAACAACTCACCTGGGAGAGGAAGGGGTCGTAGAAGCTATAGAGGTTGTGGGAGAGGAAGAGGGAGACAAGGTTTATTTGATAAGTCTGATGTTGAATGTTATCATTGTCATGAATTTGGGCATTTTCAATATGAGTGCCCTAAAAAGGAGCAAAGTAACAGAGCAAATTTTGCTGAACCTGAAGAAGAAATGTTGCTTATGGCTTATGTGAATATGCAAGAAGATACTGTTGACAAGTTGTGGTATCTTGATTCCGGATGCAGTAATCACATGAGTGGAGACAAGGAGCTTTTTGTGCAACTTGATGAAAGCTTCAGAGAGGATGTAACGCTAGGAAACAACTCTAGCCCTTGTGTCAAAGGGAAAGGAGACATCAACATTGAAGTAAATAAGGTGGAGTACTGCATCTCTGGAGTTTTCTATGTACATGAATTGAAGAGCAATCTGATCAGCCTTGGTCAATTGCAAGAAAAAGGGATTTGCCATTCTTATTCAAAAGAATGTGTGTCAAATCCATCATCCTAAGAAAGGTGTACTGTTACAAGCTGAGATGGCTCCAAACAGAATGTTTCCACTGCAAACAAAGGCTTCATCTAGTGATCCTAAGTGCTTCAAATCTACCACTCAAAAGATATAAGCTGGTTGTGGCATTACAGGTATGGACAAGGCTGCAAGCTCCCTCAAAAATTTGTGAAGAATGCGTGATTGGAAAGCAACACCGTGAGTCATTTCCTCAACAAAGCACCTGGAAGTCATCAAAAATTCTTCAACTAGTTCACTCAGACATATGTGGACCTATTAATCTTATCTCCAACAGTGCCAAGAGGTACTTCATAACTTTTACTGATGATTTTAGTAGGAAAACTTGGGTGTATTTCTTATCTGAAAAATCTGAGCTATAACTATCTTTAAGAAGTTTAAAATTATGGTTGAGAAAGAAGCCAGGGTATTTATTAAAGCATTTCGTAGTGATCGTGGAGGAGAATTCACTTCACACGAGTTTACCATCTTTTGTGAAGAAAATGGTGTACATAGACAATTAACGAAGGCCTACACCCCGCATCAAAATGGGATTTCAGAAAGGAAAAATCGTACCATTATGAATATGGTACGTTTCATGCTCACAAGAACAAAAGTGCCTAAAACTTTTTGGCCTAAAGCTGTGAATTGGAGTGTTCATATCTTGAATAGATGTCCAACATTTGCTGTGAAGGATATGACTCCAGAAGAAGTTTGGAGTGGGAACAAACCAGGAGTTGCTCATTTCAAAGTGTTTGGTTACTTAGCTTATGCTCATGTTAATGATAAGCTAAGAAGCAAACTTGAAGACCAAAGTGTGCCATGTGTTATGCTTGGGATTAGTGAGAAGTCCAAGGCTTATAGGTTGTATAATCCAGTTACTAAAAGAATCATAGTCAGCAGAGATGTAATTTTTGAAGAAAAAGCTTGTTGGAATTGGATAGATAAAGGAGAAGAAGAGATAGCCGTGGATCTTGAAGAAAATGAGGAGAATTCAGTGATGGACACTAGTCCAGCTGGCTTAGCTGGTGAAAATGAATCATCTGGAGACAACTTAGAGGAGCACAGAATCAGAGAAACAAGATTAAGATCATGTGTGGATGACAGATTATGCGAGTGAGGATGAGTTATCTAATAATGAAAATACTGCTCGATTAGCCATGTTTGCTGACAGTGATCCAATCACCTTTGATGATGCTATGAGAAGTTCAAAATGAAGGAAAGCCATTGACATAGAAATTGAAGCCATTATAAAGAATAATACTTGGGAACTTACTGAGCTACCAGCAGGGGAGAAAACTAGTGGAGTCAAATGGATTTACAAAACAAAGCTCAAAGAAAATGGAGAAATTGACAAGCATAAAGCCAGGCTAGTGGATAAGGGCTACACACAAGAATATGGGATAGATTATGCTGAAGTTTTTGCACCTGTAGCTAGGCATGATACAATTCGATTGGTGGTGTCATTGGCAGCTCAAAACAGTTGGCTTATTTATCAACTCGACGTAAAATCAGCCTTCTTGCATGGATACGTGAATGAACAGGTTTTTGCGGAGCAACCACCAGGGTATGTCAAGATAGGAGAAGAACAGAAGGTGTACAAATTAAAGAGGGCTTTATATGGACTGAAACAAGTTCCAAGAGCTTGGTACAGTTGTATTGAGTCCTACTTCACAAAGGTGGGTTTCGAGAAGTATCCTTATGAGCATACACTATTCATCAAGCATGAAAAAGGAGGTAAAATTTTAATAGTAATGTAGATGATCTCATATATACTGGAAATGATGAGACAATGTTTCTTAAATTTAAGAAGTCTACAATGGTAGAGTTTGAGATGACAGATATGGGAAAGATGCATTATTTCCTAGGCATTGAGGTTAAATAAATAGCTGATGGGATTTTTGTTGGACAGAAGAAGTATGCTGAGAAAGTACTTGTTAGATTTCAGATGAATGATTGCAATACAGTTCAGAATCTCATTGTTCCAGGAACTAAGCTGACTAGAGATGTTAATGGCACAAAGGTTGATGGTACATACTTTAAGAAAATAGCAGAAAGCTTGATGTACCTAACTACCACACGACCTGATTTAATGTTTGTGGTAAGCTTGATTAGTAGATTTATGGAGTCACCTACGGAGCTTCACTTACAGGCAGCAAAAAGGGTTTTGAGGTACTTAAAAGGAACCGTAGATTATGCCTGTTTTATTAGAAAAATTCAGAATCAAGTCTGGTGGGATTTAGTGACAGTGATTATGGTGGAGATTTGGAGGACCGGAAGAGTACATCTGGATATGTTTTTATACTGAGTTCTGCTGCTATTGCTTGGTCCTCGAAAAAACAACCTGTTGTTACATTATCAACAACTGAAGCCGAGTTCATAGCTGCAGCCTCTTGTGCTTGTCAAGCTATTTGGATGAGGAGAATACTTGAAGCATTATGTTGTACACAGAGGGAGGCTACTAAGATATTTTGTGACAACAGCTCTACTATAACATTATCAAAGAATCATGTGCTACATGGAAGGAGCAAACATATAGACATCAGATTTCACTTTCTTCGTGATCTTACTAAAGATGGTGTGGTGGAGCTGGTTTATTGTCAAAGACAGGAGCAGGTAGCAGATATTTTTACCAAACCATTGAAGTTGGAGACTTTCTTGAAGATGCGCAACCTGCTTGGAGTTAAATTAAATCCATGTGTGGGGAGGATGTTAAAAGTATTGGCAGTTTAATTAATTTTGTGTTTAGCTGAATAATCCCTGAGTTTTAGGGAAGAGTTTGAAAGAGTCTTTTTTGTTGAGCATTATTTTAGGAGAATCCCATGATCTTAGTGTTTGTTATTCATGGGACCTATCCCCTTTTTTTCTTCTGTTATCTCGAGTTGTAAGGCTATTTAAAGCCAAGTCAATTATTCAATAAATGCTAGTCTCTTCCATTGACATTCCAGAATATACAATAACAACAGCATAAAGGCAAAAGCCTTGATGCCCAATCTAGCCTTTTCAAATGCCGCATAACAGCCAATTAAATGTTCTTCTTCACATCCTAAATGAACAGCATAATAAGTTCAACTGTTCAAGAAACTCAATATACCTAGAGACAACCTAAAATCGCCATAAAGCCGAGCTATTAAATGAACAGCATAGTAAGTTTAAAAGACTCGATAAATCTAGAGGCACAACAAATCGCCATGAAGCCAAAGACTAAAACTCTAGCGCAATGCTTAGAGTATACATTTTATTTTTTACCCCAAGCAATAATAAATATAAAAAAAAATAAAAAATCACAAGTACACTCTCAACAAAAAATTCTGTGTATTAAAAGAACTTCATTTATTTCTTGCGTTTCACAATATTATTTCCGAATCATCTCAAAATTACCTCTATCATTTCGTTAATTTCAGTGATTACACGAACAACAATCATTTCAGGTAATTAAATAACTTCATAAGATTCCTAGTTTAGTGTTAACAATCCAAAATGTAAAATATAAAACAAGAATCATGAACGAATTAAATTGAATCCATAAAACAAACCTCTCGTGGAACTAAATCGGTCTTGCGGTCACCAGCAGCTCTCGGACAAATAAGTGACCCCACTTCAATTCTTCCAGCTTCAATTTAACCCATTTTTTTTATACCATCGCTTTCATTATCAAAATCATTATTCCTAATGTTGTTATTAGTTTCTAATTTTTGATTTTTTAAATCATGAGAAATAGAATCGACGGAGGCAGAAGAATGGCTCTCCATTGCAATGATGAGAGAGGAGTGGTGCTTATGTGATATACCTTCAAGGGCAGAAATGGAATTCGGATATGGAAAGAGTGGGGCGGAGGAGGGCGGCAGTGGCAGTGGCAGTGGCAGTGGACGAGCAAGAAGAGTGAGTGAGTGAAACTGAAATGTAACAAAATAGTCCAAAACACTATTCGCTTTGACTGACCTTTTTTCTCCCTCTCTCTCTCTCTCTAGGCGTGTACGTAAAGAGTACATCAATTGAAGCACAGGATACTTCCGTTTACAATTATCCTTAATTTTTTTTTGCCAAATGCCTTTTTCTATTAAGAAATTGCATAGTCGAGAAGCCTAAGTAGAAATGTATGTATTGAGTTCGAGTTTAGGTGAAAGGAGTATGTTCGATAAAGGGATGCTTTGTGTATGAACCTTGCTATGAGTATATGGATTTTTGCAGAAATGTGAAATGAAGGGAAAAGATTGAAATATTGGATGAGGGAAAATACAACACACGGACAGGATTGAAGCATTTCAAATTTCTGACAAAAATTTCTGTACTCAAAAGAATTTTTCTGTGTATTTTTATAGTTTCCATTCTTGATAAATAAATATTATCTACTCAATGATCAATTAGACTTGCTATTAAATGTTATGAAATAAATGGCTGACCGATTAAAATTGAATAGCCCATAATATATTTTTTATTTTTAACATAAAGCTCCTTAAAATATATATAATGACTTTTTATGATCGAACTAATATTTATATCGATTCATTCGAAAGTGGACAACAATAAAATTTTATTGTTGAATTAAAATTACGTACTCAAAAACTAATAAACATCAGCTTCAAGAATATAAATACAAATACAAAATCTTGGTTCAAATTATTTTTCAAGTTCATCCAACATGCTTCTCTCGAGCCTACTATACTTGTTACACGTTTCGACTAGGGTATAATATGTTCACCGAATTCATAACAAAATACAAACTCTTACTTTGTAACTCATAGCGTCACTAAGCGTAGTCTATATATTCCAATTTTGCAACGGAATGCATGCCAATTTGCTCGTAATATGTATAGGGTTAACTTGATCGCTGTTTTTCCTGCACGGCATGTTTGGCTAAGCCTAAAGGGTAAGAGCATCTCCAAGAGATTCTCTATTTTTAAAGAGCATATTCTATCATTTGGAGAGTATCTATAAATTTAGAGAGTTAAAATTTTGAAATACTCCAACAAGCTCTTTATATTTAACACTTAATTTTACCACTCCCAAAAAATATTTATTATTTTTCTTTATCTTTTATTTTAACTATTTTTTTTAGAAACGACAGAAAGTTCAGTGACCATTATGAGACGATTTGAAGTTTAGTGAGTAAGTCGTAACCATGTTAAAGTTCAGTGACCATTCAAACATTTTACTTATTAAAATTACGTACTCAAAAACTAATAAACATCAGCTTCAAGAATATAAATACAAATACAAAATCTTGGTTCAAATTATTTTTCAAGTTCATCTAATATGCTTCTCTCGAGCCTACTATACTTGTTACACGTTTCGACTAGGGTATAATATGTTCACCGAATTCATAACAAAATACGAACTCGTACTTTGTAACTCATAGCGTCACTAAGCGTAGTCTATATATCCAATTTTGCAACGGAATGCATGCCAATTTGCTCATAATATGTATAGGGTTAACTTGCCCGCTGTTTTTCCTGCACGGCATGTTTGGCTAAGCCCATAAAGGGTAAGCACACACACTTGCTGTGAAAAAAAGTGACTTTTGTATTAAAACTCTTTAAAAAAAAGTAACTTTTAAAGAAAAGCCAAATGTGTTCGACTAAAAGGTTACTTGGAGAGCAACTTTGGATGTTCAAATATGTTTGTCTAAGCTTAAATAATTCTTTTTTAGGCTTAGCCATACATGCTCTAAATCCATCAAAGAAAATACAGTCACAAGTGCCATTTTTGCAAAATAAAAGAAATCAATTCAAACAAGATGAGGATTGGCAGATGACCAAGGAAATGGTATGTTCAACATAAATAAATTTTACAGAGGAATCCATTTCTGAGTGCTACAACGGGCAACAAATAAGAGTCCCTACAAAATTCAATAGATTTTATAATAAGAAGCCGCTGGCCAAAGTCCATTCTTGGTTATGACCATGAAATCCTCTATGACACAACCTTAAAAACCTGATTTTTGTGCCTACATTACTTGGCCTTTGGTATGTTGAGGTCTTTGAATATGGGGCTATCGACTCCCACTCCCATAGCATTCAGTCCATTGTCGACATCAATAAGAGCACCAGTAATTGCAGAAGCCAGTGGGGATGCTAGGAATGCGGCTGTGTTTCCGACCTCCTCTGTTCAATGGTTTTCAAAGTTTAGGTATGAGAAAATTGCATTATTGGTCCCTAACCTAACTCATTGCCTCATTAGAAAGTTAGTCCTCAACGTTTCGAAGGAGCAAATTGATCCCGTTATACAATCATCTCCCAACTACAGAAACCATACCTCAATTAAGTTGCAGTGTCATAGCATGCACGCATTTTTTAAGATAGGTCATGTATCCAACTCTGCTAGTGTTAGAAATTTGAAGTGAGACATTATTCTATCGGGGCCAAGTAATGACACAACAGAGATTTAGCAGCCATCTTGTGGACTGATTGTACAACTATAATGTAAAATTGAGGCTTAACTTAATTGGTTTGGGACCAACGGTACAATTGTCTATTCAGATACAGTTGAATGGGCTCGAGGAACACAAGAATAAGAAGAAAATTTCATGCAGTCTGAAGCAGGAAGGTATTTACAAAATTTACCTGCAGATAATTCTTTCTGAAGAGGTGAATTGGCTAGGGAGTAATCAATCATAGTATCAATGAATCCAATTGCTTTAGCAGCACGGCTCCTCAACAGGCCTGAATACATTGTAAATTCCAGTTGAAAGGAAAAAAATGAGCCGGATCGCTAAGATAAGATTTTGACGTGAATTTTACTCAACTAGTAATTTGTAAAACCCAATTTACAGAACAAGAAATATATCAGCGGGGTAATCACCTTTAGGGTGTATCACCTTAAATCACCATTATCATTGGATAGTAGGGAGAGGCACGGTCTGGTTCTCTCTGGACTGAACAAACCAGTTTCTTCTCTATAGAACTGGTCAGTTCTTTGTAATCTTAAAAGTGTCATTTTTTAAGCTTAGCCAAGCATGGACTAAATCCTATAATCACCAAACCAACCAGACTTTTTCCAAAAGCTTCCCAAGGTAAAAAAAAAGAAACAAGAAAAACGACAGAAGCTAAACTTTTAAATTTCAATAACTATTGTCCCGTTCAGGAAATACTTAAGAAAAACATTTTGCACAACTCACACAGAAAAGTTAAACCAAAGAAAACGCTAAATGTAAAAGGACAATATTACCAGCAGATATAGTGTTGTCCCTGACTTTATGTTTTCTTCCTGCTTCAAAAGCAAGAACCTGCAGCACACAACAAATTAACACCTTGGAGCCAAATTGTGAAAAAATGAGGGAAAAAACTACAATGATCATTCATAAACTTGCCCTAGTGTCACTCTCGAGTGCTGCTTTTGCCGAACTCATGCCACCTCCATATCTGTTTATATTTGTAGTTAATAACTTTTCTGGAGAGAAATAGTACATTTAACACATGAGAATAGGAAGAAATGCTACAGACTCAAATACCCAGGAATGATCCTCTCAGAAGCAATGTACGTGAGAGAAATTGAAGAACCACCTGCAAAAAGGGCCCACCTTTAAATCCAACTAGCAGGTTTTACATGATAAGGGCATGTTTGGTAACCTTAAAAGCTACTTCAAATAACTTTTTTCCGCCATAAGTGTGTGTTTTTTTTAAGAAGTTACTTCTTCCAAATTTTCAGCACAAAAGATTTCTTTTTGACATGTCTTTACTTGTTGTCAAGAAATGCTTTTAAGCTTAGCCAAACATGCTTTCTAATAATGCTAAATTGGAAATGCAACACTCAGAAAGATGAACGAAAGCACAAATAGTGAAAGGAACAATACATGCCTTGGTTCATAATTGGAAGGAAATGTTTAAGGAAACATAAGAATAACTTGACGCAGATATTGCTGCAAGATATCCCTTTCTTGAGGTCTCCAACAGAGGTTTAGTTACCTAGTTATAAACGTTTCTGTCAAGATCAAGCTAAAATATTTACATCTGCATAATATAGAAGAAGGTGTTGTACCTCTGGACCATTAGCGAGAGAATGTACAAGAATGTCGATGCTCCCAAAATCCTGTTTTACAGTTTCTGCTACTTCCTGTAATGTCATTTCAAAAACCATGTCAGAAAAGCGTGGTTGAGGTGAAAGTAACTAAAATTGGCTAACATACTGAAAGCCCGATAAAACACTTTAAAAGATTTTCCAGGCCTCACTGGATAATCTTGATCATTACTGTTGAACGATGTCAAAATGAGTCCAATGAACACAAGGCAAACGTGAAAAGTTACAAATTACAAATAATCTAAAAAGGATTTGTCTTCTTTAAGTGATGGTGCCATATAAGAACAACAACATTCAAGACTTCAAGTGGTGAAAGAAAATAGCAGGTACCTGAACAGTCCAATTACTGGATCCAGCATAGCGCTTATTTGTTTTTATCTGCATGAGGAAACGTAAAAACAAAATTCATTAAGCACCTCTACAACATTATTGAAAGTTATTAGTAGCTATCAAAGAATCCTTATTTGTTGAGATTACATCTTCTGGAACATCTTCGGGATTGTCAAAAACTGCGTCCAATGGATAAACTTTGGTGATTTCCATCAAAGAACCATCTGGCAACCTGACATCAAACTCTTTGTCAACAAAAGAGAGTTTTCACACATTCTCTTTGTTAGGTTAAAAAATGAAAGGAATATGATCATAAAATCTTACACGCGTGATTCGTCAAATTCCCCCCGCGCAGGCTCGTTTCAAAAATGTTTAAAGCCTACGTGAAGTCATTCAATAATTTAATTAAAGATTAAACATACTGAGTGAAAGCAAATACATGCAGATAGGGAATTTCGGATATTTTACTTACAGGCACCCATGTGCCGACAAGAATTTCAGCTCCTGCTGCAGCAAGTGATTATGCAATAGCCCAACCATATCCATTATCATCAGCAACTCCTGCTATAAATGCTCTTTTCCCTAAAACAGCATTTACGGCGTCACAAAAATACTTTATACTGTGTTATCAACACAAAGTAGCAAACAGTAAAAGCCTTGTATTGCACTAACATAGAGACCGTTTAATCTACATTATTCCTGACAAACAAGAACTTCGCTACAAACTAATAACATAACAAACAATAATCTTTAGAGCATAAATATCATCCATGTCCAGTAACTATAAATTACCTTGACAGGCTTGCACATATTGACCTATATAAAAGAATAAAGAAAGAATCTCCTCCAACCCCATGAACAACTTCCTTCAAATCAAAAGGATTTCTTACATGTAATTGAGATAAAATGAAGAATGTTTATTACCTTATCAAGAATAGCTACTTCAATATTTTCTTCCTTAAATGCTAATGTTAAACTAGGAGGCAGTTAGAGGATACTCAAAACATTATTTTCTTCTTTTTTGTTGAATTTATTTTGTTGTGTTTCATCTCGTATGAGGCTATAACCCTCCTACCCCAAAAGAAATGTAACTATACCATATTTCCTTCATGAATAATGAAACACATACTTTCAGTGACAGTTCGGACTTACTTATCCATGAAACAACGCAGGAAAAGTTTGTATGAATTTATGATTTTTACAGTACAAAAGGGTTCCAGAATCAACTAACAAAAGAAAAAAATAACCTTTCAAATTGATCGGCAATCCGAGATCAGGCTTGTTTTCACCAGCTTCAGACATTGCCTTTGTGACGACTTTATTAAATTTTGAGGGAGATGATGTGAAAGTACGGTGGAAGAGTTGTCCAGTTGATATATGACAAGCACTGGAAAGCTTAGAGCACGATGCCCCTTGATGATCGATGCCAACACTTGCCACGCCTGCTCTAATGATTCTACCAGCTGAGAAAAGAGAGGGTCTAAAGGCTGCATTTTGCAAGCTTGAAGCTGAAGCTGCTGCCATTTCACTTCAGAAAAAAGTCGAGACCTGTTCAATATGCCAAAATTAGAACTAATCTGCCATAATAACTAGAATAAAGATTCAGAATAATGTATACATAAATCCCAGATAAAAATAATGTCTCGAGATTGTGTCCTGCCAAGAAATTAAAATCAATTAACTATTTGATAGCAAGAGAAATAGTTTTGGCTTAATTAAGCACCAAAAATCAATTAGACCTTGTGACTCTGTTCATTTGTGACTTAAAACAACTTCGATGACAATGTTTTTCACATGGCATCAGTGCCAAGTACTGAGTGCAGATTTACATCATTATGTCCACGTTTTACATGCAAACTACACTTCTCAACTCAATCATTAAATGCTTATCCATTACAGCATTACTTATAGATATAGCTGAGATTCTTCTTTAGTCAGTCAACTAGTCTTTTTGCTCTCCTGTAAGCTTCTCTCAGTTAAAATAAAATTTAGAAGTTCACAGTTAATGGGTTCTCTGAATAGCATATGCAAACATTGACACTCCACCAGAACGTGTGTTCTAACTCCATCGACGGAATTGGACCGTCCAGGCTAGGAGAAATTGAAAAAAAAAAGGAAGCTGGAACTAATTTGGTCCTAAATGATATGTGCATGTTTGCTAGTCTTTTAGAAAGGGAAGTGTTGTAAAACAAACAAGATACCAGAATATTTCTGATATCACTTGTTGTGAAATCAACCACCGGATTGAGATGTTGAAGTTATATGACACAATAATAAAGTATTTGATCAAGTAAAAGAATAATAAAAACAAGAATATGACCAAGAAATTAGGAGATTTTATTAACTCAATAATAATGGAGAATAGAAAATTACAATGGATCCTATAATTCTAGTAATCTATTTTCTCACACTTATAAAACTGTAAGAAGTGTCTAATATTTATAGGAAACATGTAAAGGACGTCCAAACCCTCTTAGTAGAGTTGTTGATGAAATAGAATGCCAAAAATCTAGTCCAAAACGAAGTAGGAGAAGAAAACGCAGAAAACCCGAACAACACAAGCGGCGCGTGGCAATCTGCCGAATTATTATTATTATTTTTTTTTTTTTTGCAAATTATTTTCTCCATCCAAATTCTTTTTCAAGTCTAATATCAATTTTCAACTCCCAATGAGCTTCCAAAATAGAATTTCAACTTGACATAGGATTTCAATAGCATTCTAAATTTGAATTCTCCTTGACGTGCACTTCAATTAGAATTCTTCAATTACTTCAAACAAGGAATTCAGGTCACACCCAAATTCTAACAATCTGCAGATTGACACAAATTCCACCAAAGAATGAACTGACTTCTTCAACAATAACCAAAAAATTAATTTCTCCAACAAAACATAATACCCCACCTCTTCCAATGAATCCAAGCACTACTTTACAGAATTACCTCAGATTCAAAAAATCATAATGATTTTGAATTAACCAAAATGGGCTTTAACACACCCCAAAGTAGAATCAATACCAAATGATTTTATAGAAGACCCCTTGCTAGATTGTACACCTTTTACTCCATTTAAAACATGTTCAACAAAATTAGCATCCACATACCATTTACCACTGAGTCCTTCTCTATCAATTGAATACAATGACATCGATGGTGATGGTGGCAAAGCAGCATTATCCATATCTCCTGAACTCCACAGAGCTGTATTATTCAAATATGATTATTTATGAGCTCCTAAAGGTATTGTACCAAATTGAATGTCCACAAAGGTACTGAACATGTGCTGATTGACTCTTCTAGATTCTGCACAATCCTGCTAGATGTATAACTGAGATATTTTCTGTCCCTCCAATACAACCTGTGCACCCTTACAAACCTTCAAACCTCCACCTCCACCTCCACCTCCACCAAAGAACTCATAACCCTTTGAATCAAGGCTAGACAATGAGATGAGATTCTTTTTCAAATCCGAAAGATGTCGAACCTGACCCATATGTGCACCATTTATACTCCTGGCTCCAAGAGAGCCTTTCTCCATGGATATTACATCACCAAGCTGCTCCATGTGTAATATTATTTTATTGATAGAATGTGTGGTTGAAATAAAGAAAGAGAAAAAGAATGAGAATGAGAATGAGAAAAATATGAGTGCCAAACGGGGGCTTAAGAAAAATCAACATCCACATACCATTTTCCACTGGGTCCGTCCCTAGCAATTGAATACAATGACACCGTAGATGATGGTGACAAATTGGAATTATCCATATCTCCTGAACTCCACTTAGCATCATTCTTCAAATCTGACCATTTACAAGCTCCTGAAGGTATTGTACCAAACTGAATATCCACCACGATATTGAACATCTGCTAATTGACTCTTCTAGATTCTGCACAACCCTACAAGATATATAACTGAGACATTTTCTGTACTTCCAATACAAACTGTGCACCCTTACAAACCTTCAAGGTTCCACCTCCATCAAATAACTCATAACCTTTTGAATCAAGGATAGACAACGAGATGAAATTCTTTTTCAAATATGGAATATGTCAAACCTGGCCAAGTGTTCTAATTGACCCATCCAAAAGTTTCAATCTGACTGTACCAATTCCAGCAACCCGACATATGCGTTGTTTATCATAACCACAACACCTTTGAAAACAATTTCATATGTAGTAAACAAGTCCTTATTATGACACATATGAAACACACATGCTGAATCAAGAATCTAATCATCTTCCGGTTTAGACTCAATGCCAAAAATAGCTAAGAGATCTCCATCACTTACAACGTTTTTCGCGAGGTCTGCTTAGCCTGAAATATCTGAATATCTAGTTGCAACCATCCTTTCTTTATTCTGCAATTTGTAACAATCCTTCTTGATGTACCCCTTCTTCCTGCAGTAGTTACAAATCTGATTACTGAACTTAGACTTCGATCTGCCCCTTCCAGACCCACCATGAGCAACCAGACCTTCTCCATCTCCAGCATCAGAAACCAGATGCTTCATCTTCTCTTTTAAATATAAAGGATCATACACCTCCTCTATGGTGAGAGTATCACGTACATATAAGATCGTCTCTAAATGAAGAAAATGAAGCGGGCAACAAACACAATAGGATTAAGGCTAAATCTTCTTCATCATACTCTACTTCCAAAATTTCCAAATCAACGACGATTTCTTTATATACAGACAGGTGATCTTCCGATGATCCTCCTTCTGCCATTTGATGATGGTATAAACGCTACTTGATCTTCAACTTGCTTGTTAAACTTTTAGTCATACACAATTGCTCCAACTTCAACCATAAAGAAGCTGCTAAATTCTCTTTCAAAACGTCCTGAAAAATAACATTTGATACATGAAGATGAATGTGAGAAACTGTCTTCTTATCCTTCCGTAATTTTTCCTTCGCGATCAAAGTTGCTGACATCTTGTAAATTCACAACAATGCATCATCCAAATCCTGTTGTGCGAGTACTGCACGCATCTTAACCTATCATAGCGAAAATCTAGTTCTCCAATCCAAAAACGGAATGTCATACTTCATGGAAGCCATCACGAACTAAAACCCCAAACAAATCAAACCATGTGCTCTTGCGGAACTGCTGAACCTAAGTTCTGATACCATTTGTTGTAAAACAAACAAGATACCAGACTATTTCTGATATCACTTGTTGTGAAACAACAATCGAATTGAGATGTTGAAATTATATGGTACAATAAGAAAGTATTTAATCAAGCAAAAGAATAATAAAGACGAGAATGTGGCAGATGAATTAGGAGATTTTATTAATTCAATAATAATGGAGAAGTGAGAAAATTACAATGGATCCTATAATTCTAGGAATCTATTTTTTCACACTTATAAAATTGTATAGAAGAACCTAATATTGATAGGGAACATGTAGGAGACGTTCAAACCCTCTTAGTAGAGTTGTTGATGAAGTAGAATGCCAAAAATCGAGTCCAAAACTAAATAGTAGAAGAAAACGTAGAAAACTCGAACGGCACACGTGACGTGGCGGCGCCCACCTCGGGGCGCCACGGCTCCGGGCAATCTACTGAATTTTTTTTTTTTTTTTTGCAAATTGTTTTCTCCATCAAATTTCTTCCTCAAATCTAATACCAATATCCAACTCCTAATGGGCTTCCAAAATAGAACTTCAACTTGACATAAGATTCCAATAGCATTCCAAACTTGAATTATACTTGACGTACACTTCAATTAGAATTCTTCAATTACTTCAATAAGGAATTCGGGTCACACCCTAATTCTAACAGGAAGAAAAAAAAAATTAGAGCTTGTTTGATTTTGATTCTTCGAGCACGCATTCTTTGAAAAGTGCATTTTTTTCTAAAAAAATGGGGAAGCGCGGAAATGATTTTTTTTTTTTATAATGACGTTTGGTAAAAATAAATGTAAAGAGACGGGTGATTCTCCAATAATTAATCAAACAGCTAATATGTTGTGCTGTTAACAATTCTAAAGCAGGAAAAAACCGAGGTTGTTCTCTTCGTGTTTCAATTTTTAGTTTTGAGTTTTGAATTTTGTGTTTTGAGTGTCCATTTTGAAATTGTTGAAAACATGTTCTTTTTATCATTTTGAAAAATTGTTTAAAAAAATATAAAAAATAAAGTTTTGGCTTGATTTTAACTGAAAACAGCCAAAAAGACTTTTTTAGCGTTTTCCGTTTTCTTTGTAACTTTTAAATTCGTTTTTGAAAATAGATAAGTAAATATGTTTTCAATGTTTTCGAAAACTGAAAATGATCGAAAAACAGTAAAGAGAACATGCCTTAACTTTTACAACTTTTTTCTTTTAACTTGAATTTTAGATTTTGATACAATAACTGAAAGTGAAGCTTTATTACCCTTTTCACATAACATTATCTAACTCGCTTCACTAAAATCACAAAGTAAATGCTAAAAGCAGGTAGTGCATAAAATCCAATACATTATTGTTTCAATAGTTGGACATACATTTGAAATCTAAACCGCCTGATTGAGCCACATTATTTTTAT